CCTCGCAGCGCTCCCAGTCCTCACCTCCAGGTCGGGGCATATCTCTGCCCTTTGTGCTTCTAGAACCACCAGCTGCCCTCAGTTCGCAAGCGCAGCCCCGCCGCTCGGGTTTCTGTCTAAAGTCCTTTCCCCGCCACTACCGGTCTGCAAGTCTGTGGCCCATCCCCAGCAAGTGAGGCTGTCGCTCACCAGCAGTGTAGGATCCCCACGGACAGGCTCCCTCCCGCTGCCATTTATTCTCTGATAACTGCCCGTGGAATCACGGCTCCCCGCTTTGTACCTCGGAACCAACCACCTGCGATATTCTGTTTGTAGAGATCCAGATCTTCTTACATCTCAGGCTGATTTCACGGGTGCTCAAAGTGGTCTGGTAGATATCCAGCTCAATTTCGGGGACCAGTTGGAATAGGGTCCCCTACTCCTCCACCATCTTTTCCTCTCCTACTCTCCTTTGAAAGATTTTAATGTTAATAGTTCTCCTTCTTTAAGTCTTTCACTCAAGATTCTTGAAGTACTTAATAAAGATTATAATAATTAGCCTTAAGACAGAGGTAAGTGGGTGGCAAGTATTATTAGCATGTAAGAATCACAAGGTTCTAAATAAATAATGTCTAGTTGAAGGAAAATGTTAAGACTTGTCATAATATGGAAAACACTATTCATTTATAATAAAATTTGATGAAGTTTTAGGAATATGTTTTAACTTTTGAATTGGATTTTTATTTTATAGGCCAGCTTGCTGTTAAAAGTCAACCTAAGGTGGGGGTTTGGGGGGAAGCTTGGGCCATGTCAAGAACCAACTTAAACAAATGACCAATGGTCAAAACTCAAATATTTGGAGCAAAAAAATAATGACAGTACTGGATTGTAACATAAAGAACAAAATAAATATCCATGAGTCAATGCTGATATAAGTAAGGGATTGAATAAGTAAGTAAATTAGGGGAGAATGGATAATTCTTCCTTAGAGTAGAATTCTGAGTAATACATGTGAAGGAATGAGGGAAGCAGAAAATCACCACTGGAACACCACAGTAATCAATGCTGTAGGCAACTTCCAAGGGTGAATGCTAAAATTTGTGGGCAAACCTTTAAGGAGAAACCGGACATTGTCAGGGTCTCCAAGTATCTCCCTCAAAATACTTGACTGTGGTGCTTTTAACAAATGTCTAAAAATTCCTTGATGTTCCTCCCTCCAGGAGGTGGAGCTTTATTCTTCTTTCCTTTGAGTATGTTATAAACTTAGTGACTCACTTAGGGATGCCTGGGTGGCTCAGTTGGTTAAGCATCTGCCTTAGGCTCAGGTCATGATCCCAGGGTCCTGGGATCAACTCCCGCATCTGGCTCCCTGCTCAGCAGGGAGTCTGCTTCTCCCTCTACTTGTGTTCCCTCTCTTGCTGTGTCTCTCTCAAATAAATAAATAAAATCTTTTAAAAAAAAAACCCTAGTGACTCACTTATAAAGGGCAGAGTTTGGAAAAGAAAAACTAGAAATCTTATAGTGGAAAAACCTGACAGATGCCCCCCTAACCTACCGGGTGATCATGGTTAATATCACCAGTAACAAGTTATGGTGAAACTGCGAAGTAGGATATGTGATGAAGGGGTACATCGCCTCTGGTATTCTTCCCACAAATCTATAACCCCAGTCTAATCATAAGAAAACATCAGACAAATCCAAATTGAGGGAAATACTGCAAAATATCTATCAGGAGGCTTCAGAAGTGTCAGGGTTAGGAAAAACAAGGCGAGACTGAGGAACCATCAGGATGGGAAAAGTAAAGAGACAGGAAGACCAAATACAATAGAATGCGATGAAATCTCAGATTGGGTCCTGGAACAGAAAAAGGACATTTATGGAAAAACTAAAGGAATCCAATGAAAAGCTGTAGTTTAGTTTACACTAATATTTAATTTCTTAGTTTTGACAAGTTTATGTAAGATATTCACAGTGGGAGAAGCTGGGTGAAGGGCATACAGGAACGGTCTGTGCTAACTTTACACTCTTCCGTAAATCTAAAATTATTTCAAAATTATAAGTTTTCAAAAAGTAATCTGCTATCCTTAATGGGAGAAACTGCCGATGTTCCACCTACATGCCATTATGGGACAGGAGTATGCGTATTATGATCATGTCTTACTGATTCTTACTTAAATATATATTTTTTTCATGTTGAAGTTCCACAGGCTTTTATAAAATTCTAGGTTTGTGAGAGTGAAGACCAGAGTGGTGGGCAGTGTAAAAGGAAGAGTGAGACTATGTCTTGGTATCCAGGGACAGAAACCAACATAAGCTAAAGCGAAGGGGGGAATTTATCACAGTAGTGCCATGAATTTTTTTCACAGAAGCCAAGTCACCCCGCCTGGGCAGACTGGTGCCAGGACTGTTGAGTCATTGGGAACTAAGGCAGCTCTCCCTCCGCACTTGCTGTGGAGTCTTGTGGTCTCTCATTAGTGCTTCTTTCCACACAACAGCTTATCCTCATGTGCAAATGTTAACATGATGTACCGTATTGATTGATGTGTGGACATTGACCATCCTTGCATCTCTGAGATCAATCAACCTTGATCACGGTGTATGATCCTTTTAATGTACTGTTTAATTAGGATTGCTAGTATTTTTTTAAAGATTTTATTCATTTATTTGAGAGAGAGAGAGAGAGCACAGAGGGAGAGAGAGAAGCAGACTCCCTGATGAACAAGGAGCCCAACACAGGGCTCAATCCCAGGACCCTGAGATCATGACTTGAGCTGAAGGCAGATGCTTAACCAACTGAGCCACCCAGGCGTCCCTGGTTTGCTAGTATTTTGTTGAGGACTTTTTGCATCTATGTTCATCAGGGTTATTGGCCTGGCCTTTAATTTTCTTCTTAGTAGCGTCCTTGCCTGAAGATAGGTATTTCATCTTCTTTGAATATTTGGTCGAATTCACTAGTGAAGCCATCTGGTCCTGGACTTCTGTTTGCTGGGAGGTTTTTGATTACCGATTCAATCTCCTGACTAGCAATTGGTTCATGAGATTTTCTATTTCCTCAAGATTCAGTCTTAGAAGATTGTGTGTTTCTAGGAACTTATCCATTTCTTCCAGATTGTCCAGTTTTTTGGCATGTAATTGCTTATAGTGAGCGGTCTGGTATTATGATGCTTTATATTTCCATAGTATCAGTTGTAACTTCTTTCATTTTTTATTTTATTTGAGCCCTGTCTTTTTTAATTGGTGGGCCTGCCTTAAGGTTCATCAGTTTTATCTTTTCAAAGAACCAACTCTTCATTTCATTGATCTTTTCAGTCTCTATTTCATTTATTTCCACTCTGATCTTTATTATGGCCTTCCCTCTACTAACTTTGGGCTTCGTTTGTTCTTCTTCTAGTTCTTTTAGGTATGGAGTAAGCCAGATCCACAGGCAGCAGCTTTCAAGGTACGTTAATAGACACAGTCTCGTGGGTCTACAATCCTAAACTCTGCTGACTTCCAGACCAAGAAATCTGGAGGTGTCCCCAGGGCGACAACTGCAAACCTCGTGGCTTTAGATGTATATAAGCTCCTTTCGGGGAGGTATCAGTGAGCTGCTATGTGGCCAAGGGAGAGCACTAATACGGCTATCTCCCTGCCCATCTTCCCTTGGGGCGCCTCTGTGGCCTAGGATATATGGCCAACCTGAAGTCTGTCCCTCAGGCTGAAGCTCCAGGACAAGAAAATATGCCTCTTTCACATGAATGCTGAGGGTGTGTTTCAGTCTGCTGTTTGTGCAGTGGCCTGGGGGTGGTAACCCGTCAAGGACTGTCTGTTTCAGGCTCAGGGGGTCCAGAAGCACAATCCTCCTTGGCCATCGGAGCCAGGGGCTCAAGGGGTGCCCCTGGTGTGGGTGGCACATACCCTGTGGCTGGCGGGGTGGGCCATGGGGGAAGGTACTCACCCTTGGCTGTGGCACACGGGGGCAGGATACTTCCACCAGAGCTAGCAGGCCGGGGCGGGGAGGGCCGGGTGTACAAAAATGGTGACCACCCCCCAGCACTAGTCCCAACAAGGCAGAAGGAGAATGCAAAAATCGTGTCTGGCCAGCACCTCTGTCCCCGAGAGTCCCAACAGGTTCCTGTCTCTTTGGCAGACGCTCTAAGATTAACAAATGAGTCTCCTAAGCATATGTTCTGGGTATCTTTCAAACTTACTTTTGTGCTGGGTCCTGGGATAAGTGGGTCTGTACGTGAGCTCTTTAAGAGGGGATTTTCCATTCCCTAAAGCCCTGTGGTTCCCCTGGCCGTAAGCCCTGTGGTTTTCAAGGTCCAGGTGCTTCGGGGGCTCATCCCTCTGATGCACTTCCCAAGGGCTGGGGTGTCTGATGTGGAGCAAAAACCTCTCACTCCTCAGGGACAAGCTCTGTATTAATGAGATCCCTCCCAGTTGCTGGTCTCTGTGCCGAGGCTGGGCTTTCTTGCAAGACCATGCCTCTGCCCCTCCCACCCATCTCAATTTGGCCCTTTTATCCTTTGTTGTGGAGCTGCTGTTCAGCTAGCCTGCAGGTCCTTTTCAGAGGGAACTATTTCATATGTAGCTGTAGATTTTGTGTCTGTGGGAGGAGATGAGACTAGGATCCTTTTCTATCGCCATCTTGAACCTCTTCCCGATAAACTGTCTTAATAAAATATTAACAGCTAGTAGGACCAAGCAGATCTCCTAGGTTTGCTTTACTTTCTCCTTGGAGCTGGCCCCCTGCCTTGTCACATCCCCAGGTACAGCCAGCAACCTCTCCAAGCAAGATCCAAGGCTCAGCTCTCACCACCTGCTCAGAAAATCACCTTTGATATTTTACCAATTTGATATCCCGCTGGCTGTCATATGGACCAGATTTATAAGATAATCTTTTCCTTCTTATGAAAAACTTTGGTTTTTCATGGTAACCTATTTATCCATTAGCTATATATACTGATATAGTATCTATATTCCACAATGCCATGTGTGACTTCTTTGAAAGTGACCTTTTAAAAAACAAGAAATCCAGGTAAAGAGGAATAAAAATGTTTTAATTGTTGAAATATATTGGTAAATTGAGTAATCTACATTGCAGTACTAAATGGCTACACGTGGTCATCCTCAAATTAAGAGCTTTCCAAATACCCTTAACCATCAGTCACAAGTCCTTGAAAATAGTATAGGATTAACATGATGGGATGCTGGGATCCCACAAAGGAGAATGAGAGAATCAATGACTGCAAGGGATTTGTGGTGACATCAGCCTTCGACCAAAGAAAATGGAAAGTTAATCAAAACGTGTGTAGGGCATGCAAATTTCAGGAGCTTATTTTTCAACATTGAAAGGTCATACATCGTTCCTAACGGAAGACATTCTCTGACACTTACAGAAAGCTGAAAACCAAAAAGTAAAAAAGAGAGACAGAGAACAGTAAGAATCAATTTAACCATTTTACAGCTAAAAATTAATGTAACGTAGAAATAGTGAAAGGTAACCCACAAATATATTACTTTAGGGAGTTCATTTATAGTGCTTTCTTAGCTGAAGTTATAAATAGAATACAGATTTCATTATATAAAAACTATCAAAAAAGTATCAGTGAAAAGACATGATTTTCATGAGCTGTGTTGAATGGCCAGGGAGAAAATGCCGCCAGATACAGCAGGCTGGCTCCAGACACTAGTGGTTTGTCCACTTGTCTTTCTCAGCAGAACCCCAGAAAGTTCCATATACCCATGTATTGTTTACCTGATTCCTTTCTAGTACCACAGCATTCAACATGTACCCATGGTTTCAACTACAGACTTGAGAATTTGGGTGGGGAGTGGAGGCGGAGCGAGCGACTAGTTAGAATTTCCTTAGAAATTTCTGTGCACGTCACGACGGCCCATGGAGTGCAATTCCTTCCAAATCTTAATGAGCAAGCTGTGAAGACAACAACAGCAAGAGGGAAAAGAGTTAGGAAGCTTAACAAAGGACAACTTAGAAAAAAAAAAATCAGCTTTCAGCCTATGAATTATTTACTGATTTTCTTTTCAGTAAAACACACATTCAAGGTTCACTCGATACTTAAGACTGAATAAGTGGCCAACACAGAGCTAAGAACTGATGACACTTTATATAAAGAGAGGAAGAGCCATGGGGAAAGAGACTGATAAACTCAGAATTAAAATATGACGTGATAGGGACACCTAGGTGGCTCAGTCGTTTAAGCATCTGCCTTCGGCTCAGGTCATGATCCCAGGGTCCTGGGAATGAGTCCCGCATAGGACTCCTTGCTCAGCGGGGAGCCTGCTTCTCCCTCTGCCTGCCACTCCCCCTGCTTGTACTCTCTCCCTCTCTCTGACAGATAAATTTTTTAAAAATCTTTAAAAAAATTAAAAAATAAAATAAAATATGGCATGATAATGCCCAGACCAAGCTGCACATCAACATCATCCAAATTAAAGACAGACTGCTCAGCCAAATTAAAGACAGACTCCCCTACTGGGTCAGCCCCTGCTGGGAGAGGGGTAGCCATCCACCCTCTCTCCAGCTCTCCCAGGGGAACCTGCTCCAGCCAGTCCCTCCACAAGCATCTGAGAACACCACTTCAGCTCCTCACTGCCCAGGGATGCTCCACACATCTAGGTGGGCATAACGCTCACCCGAGAGTCATCTGTAGAAGAAACTACACGTTTGTACCATGATAAAAGTATTGTAAGAGATTCTGAAATCATTCCTCAATTTCTTTCAAAAAGTCACCAAAAGAACTTTGAACTCCAGTCATTAAGGGAGTTCAGTGGCATTATTTCAAGAGATTTGGCATGTTAGGTCAAAAAAAGTGTCTCCAGTCCTCTCCATAGAATAGCTTCCTCTGCAAAGGACAGTCTTCTCCTCGGGGTTTCTGCCCAATAACTTTTTTTAAAAGATTTTATTTATCTATTTATTTGAGACAGAGCACAAGCAGGGGGAATAGCAGAGGGAGAGGGAGAAGCAGGCTCCCTGCTGAGCAGGGAGCCCGATGTGGGACTCGGTCCCAGGACCCTGAGATCATGACCTGAGCCAAAGGCAGTCGCTTAACTGACTGAGCCACCCAGGCACCTCTCTGACCAATAACTTAAGCCCAGAGAGCCATGAGCTCAGACATGTCAAGTACCTGAGTGGATGCTTAGTAACTCTGGAAAAAGAAGAGCCTTTCAACTGAGAACACTTTTCAGACAATTCAAAGGGACAGGGATAGCAATAAAATAGGTTTATACTCATGAGAATAAAGAGATATTTTAGCTAGCAGTCTCAAGTTGCAGGCTGGTTTACCAGCAAGATTGCTAAATTGTTATCAGGGAATTTGAGATCCACACACAAAGTGGAACAACCATCTTGTCCAACCGTCCCATGAGAAAACTGAATTTGAGAAAGCCTGAGAGAAGGTTAGGGATTCCTCTGAGGTCCTACGTTAGTGACGGAGTTACCACACCTCCTGATACCTATCTACATGGCACCTCTTTCCACTCTATTCTCATGCTTTTTGAAATACAACCTACTTTCAGGAGGGTAACATATGCTTGTTTTCAACTAGATTATCTTTCCTATTTGATGCAAATAACAAATGTACTTCTGCACAGTGGAAAACCGGCAGGGAACCTAGAGGGTCAGAACTCTTAAAAATACTAGAAATAGAAAATCTCCAGCAAATTCCCAAAGAGAAACTCAACACTCTATAATGTGGTCATGGGCCCTAGGGAATAAAGCTCCATAATGCTTTCACCTTGAGGAGACAGTCTTCAAAAAATGGCTACCCAAGATTGTGGTATCTCTTGTCAGGAAGACACTGCTTACAGTCTCTGTGTCCCTCTCCCCCAGCGGGAAAAGTTAGTCTCCAGCCGTAAGCTTATTCTGTGACCCCCTCCCCATCCCAAACACCCAAATCCAGTAACTGGCCTTGAGCAAGAAGTGGGTATCAAGTCAGCATCAAGTCAGTTTTGCTTTGGGTCTGCCAAAGGCTGGATTCTCGATACAAAACAGAATAGTATGATGATGAAAACAACAGTCACTGCAACTGCCCTTTATTTCATATTGAATCCTAACAACACCCTTCAAGCTAAGCCCTGGTGCCATTTTACAGATTATAAAATGGAGGCTACAAGGGGGAAGTAACTTGCCCCGCTAGTAAGTGAAAGAGCCTGAATTCAAATCCAAGGTTGTCTGACTCCCAAAAGAGAATGGGCTATCTCAGGAGATAGGGCATTCCTGATCACAGGACATTCAGAAGAGGCCAGATGTCAGTCAGCAAGACCGAGACGCAGTGGGGATCCAAGCGTCATGTCCGTCCTTGGACCAGATGAACTGAGACTTTCTGCCTCTGTGGAAATGCTGCACAGGATCTTTTAGAAACTGGCACACAGAGGGTTAATAAAGGAAAGCTTGTTTTCTCCTGTCCTTGTTCTTGTCTTAGGATAATTCTACCTCCAAGCTCTTCACCAGGACACCAGGTCCACAGTGCATCATCTCTCAGACAATGGTTTCTTCTGTGTACATCGAACATGTTTTATAATACCCAACCGAGTTTGGTCTGTGGCTTTACTATTCCTTCCTGCATAACTACATTTCTGTATAAGGATGACTGCCCATCTCATTTGGTACAGCTACATCTCCTCTCTGTATATTAACTGACCCCTGGCTATTGCCAACACTTAATATTGATCCTAATTTATTTGCCAGTCCCAGCCTCTCTGGTCTCTCCCTATTTGTCATTTCCAAAGTCTTAGCCCCTCAGCTTTTGGCAATGAAGAGTGAAACCTTCATGTTTTAGGCACTTAGCTTGTTCTTATTAAATGAATTAGGTTGCATTTGAAACAAAATGAAACGAAAAATAAAATTAACTGCAAAGAAAGTTGACCTAATTATCAAAGACCCCTTTATAACATAACATGCTCCATTTCATAGATTTAACCACAAGATGAGACCCCTCTTAATCTTGAAGTTCAAGATTTCTTAGAAACAGCTAGCAACAATATTTGTAGTTCATTCATCATCAAGGTTAAATACGTACAATTATTTAGAAAAAATACAGTACCTCTTATTATGGAGTCATGATATTTTCTTCTAATCTTAAAGAGAAAATTAAGAAAAGTTAAATATTTGGATTATAAAGAACATATCTAGTTTCCTAAAAAATGACAAGTAGTAGTGACTTATATGTATTTGCTAGTCCAGATCAGAATGCAGAGAAACGGCAATGAGGAACAAGAGCTACGGTGTTACAAATAAGGTAGTATAGCCTGTGTGTAAATGAAACATATTAACAGTCCTTTAAAACTATGCATCAGACAACTGTACAGTGGTTGGTAAACCAGCATTCTTACCACGAGCCACACATTTAAGCAAGAAACTAGCTCTGAGGCTGTTGTTGTCCGTGTCTATTATCAAAATGACATTAGCCCCGGGCGCCTGGGTGGCTCAGTTGGTTAAGCGACTGCCTTCGGCTCAGGTCATGATCCTGGAGTCCCTGGATCGAGTCCCGCATCGGGCTCCCTGCTCGGC